GAGAACAAGGAGACAACAACGAATTGAAAGTTTTAAGACAATATGGATTTATCCCTCAATAATAAAATACTGCATGCTGTTGCAAGATAGGAAGTGAATTATAAATGTATCCTTTCTAGTAAACAAGAAGAAAAATCTAAAAAAAAAATCCCCTTTCCAAAAAATTTATCCCCAAAAAATAAAAATGCAAATTAAATTGGTGCAACTTTAAGATAATTAATTGTTCCAACATCATCATCAACTAAGAAAATGATAAATTTAAGAAATTATTTTTCTACAAAATAAATATTAACTTAAATTTTTTGGAATTTATTTTTTAAAATTAAATTTAATTAATTTTTATATTCATTTAGTAACATTACTTCACCATCATCTGACTTGCAACAACTTGGGAATTCTTCTTGGGCTTTAATTCTATGTCTATTATTTGCATGGTTTGTTGTTTATTTAAACACTGTTAAGAAAAAGTTAACATTAAAAAAAGTATGCTATTAATTTATTTTAATTAATTACAGATTAAATTTTTTTTTAAATTCTTTTTATGTATAATGATAAAATATTTAAGAAAATAACTTTTTCTTTCAGAGAAAGTTTATTCCTACAGCGTTAATAGTACTTTTATTCACTGCATTATTTGCTTTCTCATTTAAACATAGAGGAAATATGATGGGCATTGCCAATTATTTAAAATTTGATAAAGGAAGGCTTGGAGATCCTCTGGTTAGAAACGATTTTTTTTATTTATATCTATTAGCATTTTATATAAAAAAAATAATAATAATTTTCTAAGTTTATATGATAAAAATATTTAATTTAAATGGGTAAATTTATATGTAAATTTGACGTAATTATATGTAGCTAGTCCCCGATATTTGGAAATTATATATTGATAAAAATATAAGGAACTCTATGCTAACAATTAGCATGTTATAAAATGAATTCCATTCCCAAAGAGATTAAAAGTAATAATAATAATAAAATTTTTCATTAAAGTAGGAAAGTTTATCTTTTCACTGTAACAATGCATAATACATTAGTTAAAACGTTAAGTAGATTAAACAAAAATTAAGCAATAAAACTCTCAAATGATTCAATATCACCGAAATTGGCTGAAAGTACCATTGCACTATAGCACAAAGTTATTTGTAAATGTAGGAAATGGCGCATAAAAATTGATTTAAGAAAGAGCATTCTGAAAGTCAAGGACCACCTGTATTTTTAAGTTGTAAAGAGTTTAAATTAAGTCTTGTTTAATAAACATTTATTATAATTGGTATGTTAGCAGAAATAAGAAGAACTTAGAACCACATTTTCCATTATTAAACGATATCCAATACACAAAAAAAATTTACTGTTTTACATAATACAGCAAAGTGATACTGTGTTTAATATATTATTTTTATATATAACTCTAAAAATATTGTATATTTTTCTAATATTAACTTTTAGTATATTTAATTATATATGATAAATAGCCATACATCTACTGGCTCTAATTCGACTCGATCCCTGATAGCTTTTCATGGAATTTGTTACAGCCGTCATTCTTCATCTCTTAACCAACTGATCCCATTACCGATTATTCAGTCGTATAATCTAGGAAAATTATAATTTTTCAGTAAAATAATACAATTAATGCAATATAATAAATATAAATTGATAAAATATATTTTATATGATTAGTCAGATTATAATTTATTAATATTTACAGTTGTGGAACGATTCTCTGACTCAAGTAATGCTTAGTTTAAACATAGGAAGTGGATTTATAGCATTTTCATCAAAGCAAAGCAATAGTCATGAAAAAATAATAAAAACATCAATAGGAATTATCGCAGTAAACTTTATTATATCTTTCTATGGAGGCCTGGTAATATACTCATGGTTTGGAGTGTTAGCAAATGCTAGTCATATTACGTTTACATCATTGTTATCTGCAGGTAAAATTTAATTTATTCATTATTAATTAAAATAGAACATAATTAATGAATGATAATATTTAATTGCAGATTTCGGTTTTCCATTCATTATTTTATCTTCTGCTATAGCTACTTTACCAATTCCTCCAATTTGGTCAATAGCAATATTTTTAATTATGAGTCTTACCAGTCTGGATAGAATTGAAAAATTACTTTTAACATTGCTTTCAACTATTCATCAATTATTTTCGATAAATTCCTTTAAAGACCATAGCAAAATATCGATTTTAATTATATATGTCCTGTTATTTTGTAGCGGAATTCTCTTTACGTATGGGGTAAGTAATATTAAAATTTTTAATATCTATATATTAGTTATGTAATGTATGGGTCAGCACAAGCAACTAATGGGGTTATAAACCAGTGATGCCGCGGACTCCATTACGAGATATAGGAGGATAAACATTTAGTACTGCTGCCCCTGTTTGCTATCTTGTAAAACACGTGTATTTTGTTACAAGTAGATTTTATGGAATAATCCTGAGCAAAGTGGTAGAATCCAACATTTACCTTTATTAACAGGTAATTGACATTGTAGAGTATTTAAAGAGATGATATACACTGTCAGTTAAGCTGTCAGATGCATGGTGGCTAAGCATTATATTTAAGCGGAAAACGTCTTATGCTTTTAATTTATGGTAAATCTGGCAGCAATGTGAGGACTGCCCAGCAGATGTATCATGAGCGTTACCCACGTCGTCGTCCAGTTCTGCCGCTCAGGATATTCTACGCGTGTGTCAATGGTTGCATGAAACAGGCGGTTTGCTATACATGGATGCGAATTTGGTGTGCCAAGGAGAACACAAATACCGGACTTTATACAGCAGGTTTTGGCGCATTCTGCGGCGGATCCACCAATTAGTATGCCAGCATTTGGAAACTCTCTGGCAATATATCATGTGTATCTGGATGGTTCTGTACGGGCACCAGCTACTTCCATATCATCTGTAGCAAATATACACGCATTTGTTTCTGCAGACTATGCTCTACATGTCACCTTTGCTCGATGATTCTTCTGACAACGTTGAAGAACCAAGATTTCCAGAGCTGGATGAAGCGTCATTTATCACAGAGGACCTGTTCAACTCACGTAATGGCATATTTGGGATTACAAAAATCCCATGGCACCCATTTCAGAGCATTCCAATGCAGGTTCGCCGTCTAAGTGTGGGCAGCTGCTAATTTCTTTTTAGCAAGCTCATTATGGGTTCAACTAGGACCACAATGGGGTGGTGAGTTGGGCCAGGGGGAAAAAAATAAAAACGGCGGCACAGGGAATCGACGAATCCTTACGAAATTTTTGAACAAGTGGGTGGGGGGCAAAGCCCCCTACTATTCTTATAAATATTTAACTGTAATGTAAACGAATGCAGTTAACATTGTAACATAAAAGGGATTTAATACAGACTACAGTACTTTAAACTTGTAGACGCAAGACACATATTAGTTTATAGTATCTTACTCAGAATAAATGTTAAAAATCCAAATAAAGATGCTAAATATTAAAATTTTAATATAAAACACAAATAAAAATTTATTTTGCCTCCTCTCTTTTTTTTCTGCTAACTTCCTTAAAAGTTTCATTCTTTTATTGATAGCCTAACAACTTNATATATAATTTTGATAGTATAAAGGTAGAAAATGAAAACTGTTTTTTAATATTTTAAATTTATTGGAACTTTTTTAAAGTTTTAATTTATTAATTTCTATATCTTGTACGTTTTAAACATGAATAAATTAGCTATGTTTACTTATTTATAGATTTATATACAATATATATATATGTTATATATAAGCATTATATCTATTTTTATTTTATTTTTTAGATAGGATATCATATATTGTTTATATTAGATTGTTGGGTTCTTGGTTACACTGCACTTTTACTTTCAGTGTTACAGATTGCTTGTATATACTGGTTATATGGTAAGTTTATATTATTTTTACAATTTTTCTAGATATAATTTATAAAATTGAAAATATCTATGTTATATTTGTTAATAATTATCCATAAAATAATTCATATTCAAATTGATACAGTAGAAGTTCGTTAATCCGACATCCGATAATCTGGAACGTCCTGTAATCTGACGCTGAAAAGTAGCCGATAATCCGGAATTGTGCCATGATAATTCAGCATACAGGGCTTATCCATGAGATATGGTTGTAATATGGTTGCTATTATGGCGTTGCAGCATTCCATTGATATCAAAACAATGTTTTATTACTGCATGAAAAATATTATGTAATTATTATAGAACGTTTTTCACGCAGAATAATGGTCATATCGATAAAGGATAGTAATTAGGCAATGACTTAATTTTCAGTTTTATACAGAGATAGAGTCTTTGGGTGACACAATACATGTCTGGAAAATAAATACATGCACATGAATCATCGTAAATGTTGCTTTTCTGCAATAACATGTTTATCAACTCTTTTGCAGGATTTTTAATCTTAACACAGTTTACTCAAACGCTGCATTATATTTAAACTGATTAAAGAAGCATGCTCGAAAGCATACATCAGCATACTCTGGTATAAATATACAGAAATGTCTACAACTTTCGATAATCCGGCATTACTCTCATAGGTGCCGGATTAACTAACTATTACTGTAATTTTAGTATAGTTTATTAGTTATAAATAAAGCGATTAATATTAATATAATCAAGTTTATATAATTTGTTTTCCTCTTTTGTTAAGTATTGCCATACATCTACTGGCTCTAATTCGACTCGATCCCTGATAGCTTTTCATGGAATTTGTTACAGCCGTCATTCTTCATCTCTTAACCAACTGATCCCATTACCGATTATTCAGTCGTANCTGGTATAAATATACAGAAATGTCTACAACTTTCGATAATCCGGCATTACTCTCATAGGTGCCGGATTAACTAACTATTACTGTAATTTTAGTATAGTTTATTAGTTATAAATAAAGCGATTAATATTAATATAATCAAGTTTATATAATTTGTTTTCCTCTTTTGTTAAGTATTATATATTTTTATTAAATAATTTTTACTTCAAAGTTTAACTGTTATAAAGTTAGTTAAAAATATATTTTAAAAAAATTATTTAATTAATTATGTTATATTTGTATTTTCAGGATTTAGAATTTACTTTGAAGAATTGTACAAAATATTAAAAGAAAAAATGGAACTTAAAATATTCAAAATGTTTTGGTGTGTTATCACTCCAGTCATATCAATAGTAAGTTTTTTTTTAATTAAAATATTTAAATATATATTATACAATCTAATTTTATATTTCTTCTTATAGGCTTTATTGATATTTACATGCACAAATAGTAATTTACCTAATTTGGGAAAATTTTATTATGGAAGAACAGCACAAATTGTTGGTTGGTGTTTAGTTATGTTGATACTCAGTCCATGTTTTATCTATTTGTCTTATATGATTTCAAAATTTATTTGGATTTTAAAACATTCTAAACGGGTATGAGTTTTTAATTAACTAATTATAGTTTTTTTTAATTAAAAATTTGTTTTGATTAATGATTTTTTAATTAGGAACTCACAGAAGTTAATACAGTTTCTGGTAATGTTCGAAACTCTATAACAAATTTTGTATTTGAACAACAAACTCAACAAGAATCAAATGAATCTCCTCTAACATATCATGTATTATTAATAAAATCTGAGAAGAAAGACTCATCTTTAAATATTCCTTATGGTTTTCTTTTATCACCATCTAAGCACAAAATTATTAGTAAAAAATTTCCTAATTTATTAAATTATCCTGAGGTAAGCTTAAAAATTATTTCAACTTTTAAAAGTGGTTATTATCAATTAATTATTAATTTTAAAACAATTAGTTTACATTTCTTTGCTATGTTATTGAATATTAATCCAAATTTAAATACAGTACAGTATTGGTTTCTTCTAAAACTTGTAAAAAACCTCATAAGAAATATTGTTTTCATTACTTAGATATTTTGTATTTAGTATGAAATGAAGCATGTGAGAGAGATGAAAATGTAACCTTAATTATATTAATCTTATGAGTATGAGAAGGATTTTGAAAGGCGTTGTAGGACAATGGTACAATTAAGTATAGAACAAAACAAAAATGATTTGAATTAATTTAGAATAAAATTAATTTAGTTATAGATTCTAAAGAAAGTATAAAACTGCAATATGATATAGAATCTATAGAAAGGCTGGAAATGAAGCTGATGCATTGAAAAATTGAAGAAAATTTTTCTTGGACATTCTTGTATTATTAATTATTATTATTATTTTTTGGCTTAAAGTGAAAATAACTATGAGGATACTGTTTTATTTCCTAAGATTTTTCATTTTCTCACATAAGTAAATTTATAAAATATACATAAAATTATTTATATCAATACAACATATATATATAT